TCCTCTCCAGAGATGATTGGAGAGACTGAAGATAAGAGAGATGAAGTCAGAGGAGCCAATGACAAGGAGGTGTAGCAAGTGAAAAGCAAGGTTAGTGTGAAGAAAATGAATACTGAACAGATAAGTCTAATTGTAGACAAGGAAACAGACAATACTGAGTATTTACACAAGTTCTCCCATTATAAAGCTATAATGACTCCCAGTCTGATTATCTTTCCTAATTGTTTATTTTTTTGTTGTGTTTTGTTCCATATGGAAGCAATTTAAAAGCACTTTTGTTCTGAAGTATTGTTTTGTTTTTGTAATGAGGTGTGGTTTAAATAATAAGCTTGGTATCCAAACCAATAGAGAAAGCTTCACTCATACTGTATCTTAATTATAAACATTGCCAAAGCTTTTGTATCATTTATGCATCCTGAGATTTTAACCACACCAGTTAAATAATTCATTCATTCTTGTACTTGCACTTTATTCTTTAATGGAGCTGATATCAAACCCCATATTTAACTCTCGTGTGTCAAGTCATGCCTTTACAGCAACATTATAGAAACGTCCTAGTAAGTATTATCAAAGTAATCAAGCAGTAGCTTGCAGTTGTTTGTACTTTTGTTTGCTCTTTGTGGTGATGATGTTTTTGCCTTATTTTGTTCAACATGCGCACTTCTTGTGTCCAGCGGGCAGATCTCAGGGAACCCACCCTTTTCTTAAAACCTGTAAGGAAGTCCAGGAAAAACAAAAGCTGATATGTAGTAGTTAAAATATGCAACTATGGTCAACATGACCCCTGCTCCCTCCCTCCCTTTTCTCAGCAAGGCTCTAGAAGTTGTACATCATCGAATTTGCCTTGGATTTAATTAAAATATAAAACGTTAAAAAGGTACTTATGGCCATGTCAGTTTAATTTAGCCTACATCTTTTCCCCTCTGTTTTCATACAAAACACCACGGTTAAAGAGCATAAAGCAAACTTACAGGTGCTTTTAAAAAGAAATTAAAAAGGGAACTTTTCTTCTTCTGTGTGTGTACATTTCTGTATATATTAGCGCTTTGTGATGTATATTTTTGCTTTTCATGATCAGTCATTTTTGTGCTGCAGCAACGTACACATAGGTCGAGCATTGGTGTTGCAAACTTCAGAGTTTTATGTTCCACTGGTGTAATCGAAGTACTACAGCCAAAGCTTTTAATCAGTTTACTCTTTGACGGCGAATAGAAAACCCCAAACAGCACAGCAGTCGGCAGTTCCACCAGCATTATATTCCTGCTCTGCGTGTAACAGTTTAGTGCCCAAAGCTCACCGTTGTCTTCTGTTGTAAAATGCATTTTGTTTAAAGCAGCGTTAAAGATTTGTCTATATGCTCTCGTTTGTATTTTGCAGTTGTCGCACTTCTCATGCTTTTGCACTTGACAAAGTCAAATAAAGAATTTGACAGCTGAACTTCCTGCAAAATGATTTTTTTGTAAAAAAAAAAAAAAACTCAAATGCTAGCTTAAGTACTTGGTTTCCACCCTGTAGGTAATGCAGTACGTTCCGATTTGCTGAAAAATTAGCCGCAATGTTTGGTACTTGTCGATGCCAATCCTATAATCAGTGTGTAGGTTGAAAAGTTGAAGAAGAGAAAAAAAAAAGTTTCTTATTTACAAATCTAGGAGTTACATAAACAACAGTAACAGTTTATCATGTTCATAGTGTCTAAAATTCACTCTGTCTCTGGCCTTCACTAACTCCTGGGAAAAGTTTCTGGAACAAATTTCTCCCTTTGTCTTTTGTGTACGAAGGATTTTTCTGTTCTCACTAAAATCAGCTCCCTTAGAGAAGTGAGACTGACCCAAAGCAGTAGAACAGCTGGACAGTCATCTAAACAATGGGCAGAAACTCACTACAGAGTACTCCAACGCTGAGGGGGGACAGCTGATTCATGAGTAAACTCTTTTACATTACCATTAGGTGTATTGTTAGAAAAATAATTATACCTGCTTTGACTCAGACTTAATGCTCAGAGGTGCACTTGGGCTTTCATTCCTTCTTTGTGGATCAAAAATGAGCACAATGCCACTTTTTAAGTTTTTAGTTTGTTTTATTCACTTCATATACTTTTGTCTCGTCTTTTGTTTAATTTCTTGTCGAGAAATTAAACAAAATCTGTGAAATCGTCTACAGTGGACACCAGTCTTTTTCGTTGTCCGGTGGCTTCTACATTTGTTGGAGCACTGCTCTGTGACAAAGGTTTGCTCTGCCCTTGGGTCAGTGAAATCCCGGGAGTTGAGCGAGACTGGATGGCTTCTTGAGCCTAAGTTATAGCAATAGGGTAAAACGGGTTGAAATTAGAGAAATTAAGTGCAAGTAGTGGTGATGAGGAAGACTTTGTATGTTGGTCTTACCCTGGTCCTGATCCTCTTGATGTGTCGTAACCTTGCTAGCCACTTAGAGGCGTATGCGTCAGAGGGGTTAGCTCTGTACTGGTGCACCAAAGAGGCCATCTGAGGAGAGAGAGAAGAGTCGAGAATGTGTCACCTCTGCAAAGTGTGTTTTGACTAGATGTAAGAAGATAAGACTTACATTTGCATGCAGAGCCATCTGCCTGACTAACAGGGGAAGGTTTCGATCTGAAACAATTTTTGCCACGGTTGTGTCTACTAATCCCTCAAGGTCTGAAAGAGGGTATAAAGAAGAACTCATTAAAGTTAAACAAAGCTGACAAAAATGAAGAACAGGATCTGAAAAAGAAGTGATTAGCTCACCTTTGCGGCACTGGAGGGTAACGAGGTTACATTCATAATCCAGTGGTTTTATAATGACTTCGACAAAATTAAACTGACCCTAAAGGAAGGGGAAAATGGGCATTAAAAGACAGAATATCAACAGCAAATTTCAGATTCTTTTACTGTGCTCGTGTGTGTCTACCTTAATTGTGCCCAGTTTGTACTCCTCTCCAGAGTCATTGTACACCACCATGACAAAATCATTGCCAATGTGTCGCTTTTTGTTGCAGCAACCCTTGTCGCTCTCCCTGTTTGGCATCAGTGTGGCTATGTGAAAGATAGCTGCAGGGACACAATTTCATTTATAATATGCAAATTGCAGACTGGCTGTAGAGGAAAAATAAATAAATACTGTATGTGTGTTTTTCCTGACACACACACACACACACACTAACCCTGCATGATGTCGTCATGCCAGCAGTAGGTGAACTCTCCATCATCTCCATACTGGTCAAGCCCTCCAAGGAAAATCTGGTCTGGATCGCAGTCTTTCAGATGGATTAATTTGCCAAGACCTGTGAGGAAAGAGGCGTAGCGGTTCGAACCGTACTCGTTCGACAAGATGGCGACTTCATTGTTAACCTAAAGAAAGTGAAGAGGATCAAGACATTAAGCCAGAAAATATAGAAATTATACGGCAGTGATTAGCAAAACTACAGTCGGCACATCCTCACCTGACCAGCTCCTACAAACACCACCCCAATTTTATGGGTGTCATAAGGGGGCATTTGGTCCAGAACCTTTACTGCACGGTCAATCACCTACGACAGAAAACACAATGTAAACCACGCCGTATGATCCAGAAGAAGGTGTAGGAGAGAATTCAGGTTACCTGAGTTTTGGGCAGCAGAAGTGGCTTGTTGGCTTCATTCCCAAAGAAAGGAGAGTGGTAGAGCTGCAGAAACACAAAGCTAGAAGATATAAGAAGAAAGAAAGTCAGTTTAGACACATGGATATGTAAATTAAAGGCAATCTACCTTCATTGAACCTTATAAGTTTACTGGTCAACAGAACCTGGACTACAAACACAATTTAAGGAACCAAATAAAAGCAACACAGCTTCTGGTACCAAATATCTTGTTTCCATGCCAAGAGATATCTGGACATTTCTATTCAAACATCTGTTTATATGGATGAGGTTGCAGAACAATTTCAAAATAATGGTCCTCGGCATAAAATACCAAAGACTTTGTGCACAGAGGTTTCTCCAGATTTTCAGAATTTGTGATATTATAGATATCCAAAGGACAAGGAAGAAAGTCCACATTGGATGCCCGTGATCTTCAGGCACTACAGGTGGCTCTGAAATAAAAACAGGTGTGATTCTGTCATGGAAATTATTGCATGGGCCCAGGAACACTTCCAGAAATCACTGTGAATACAGTGCCTTCCACAAAGAAGAAACCACATGTGTACATGGTCCAAAAACACCACAATCTTTTCTGGGCCAAAGCTTATTTAAAATGGATTGAGGCAAAGGGGGAAACTGTTCTGTGGTCAGACAAATGGAAATTTTAAATTCTTTTTGGAAAATGTGGACAAGGCATCATCCAGACTAAAGAGAAGGACCATCCGGCTTGTTAGCAGCACTCACTTCAAATATCTTAATATCTGATTAGGGTATTGGTGGTGCATTGATGTGTATGTAATTAGGAGTGTGAATGCTGAAAGGTATACACACAAGTTTCAGCCTTTTTCCAGAGAAGGCCTTGAATATTTTAGTTAGACAATGAGAAACCCCATACTGAATCATTTAAAAAGCATGGCTTCATAGTACAAGAGTCCAGATGCTGAACTGGCCTGCAGTCCAGATCTTTTGCCAACTGAAAACATTTTG